GTGTGAGAGAGAGAGAGCACACAAGCAGTGGGGAGGGGCAGAGGGAGAAGCAGACTCCCTGCCAAGCAGGGAGCCCAATTTGGGACTGGATCCTTGGACCCTAGGATCATGACCTGAGCCAAAGGCAGACGCTCAACTGACTGAGCCACCAAGGCGTCCCAATAAATGTGTTTTTTCTTTGTTAAAGAAATAGGTTTATTTTTGGAAATCCAAAAGAAGGAAAATAAAAAATGAACTATAATTCCATAACTTAGAGATCATTGTTGATATTTTCATATGTGTATTACTGGACTTTTTCTGTGTATAAATATATATTTTGTCCAAAAGTAAGGGTAATATCAGTTAAAGCTGACATTATGCTTATTATGAATATTTTATTACATATTTTTAAATTAGCTATTCTATAATCATAATTTGAATAATTGTATTGCATCATAATTTATTTTCAAGCTATAAAAAAAGTTGCTAAGATTAAATTCCTGAAAGTGGCTGAATACATTTCAAAGTTGTAAAAATTGCAGTATTTTGGGATGCCTGGTGGCTCATTCAGTTAAGCATCTGACTCTTGATTTCAGTTCAGGTCATGGTTTCAGGATTGTGAGATCAAGCCCTGAGTCCAGCTCCAAGCTGAGTGTGGAGCCTGCTTAAGATTCTCTCTCTCCCTCTCCCTCTGCCCCTCCCCTGTGTGCTCTTCTGTCTCTCTCTCAAAAAAAAAAAAAAAATTAAAAGTTGCAGTATTTTATTTTTTATTTATTTTTTAAAGATTTCATTTTATGTAATCTCTATACCCAATGTGGGGCTTGAACTCACAACCCCAAGGTCAAGAATTGCATGCTTTGAGCCAGCCAGGCACCCCCAAAATGACAGTATTTTAAAATTGCCCTCCAGTTAGGCCTGGGGCCTATCATTTTTTGTTCCCTTAAGTGTATGAAGGTGCTTGATTCTCATACTTTGTACTCACCAATTAGATATGAATAAAGTAGAATCTCATTATTCTTTTTTTTATGTTATGTTAATCACCATACATTACATTATTAGTTTTTGATGTAGTGTTCCATGATTCATTGTTTGCGTATAACACCCAGTGCTCCAT